ATTTTTAAAATGATATTTTCAATTTTTTATAAATTTTCGAAAAGTGTCTGTACATCGAGACAATTTTGGGATGTTGGACGAGATACTTCAAGTTTTCAGTGCCGAATCGGCCATACTGGGACGTCCGTGTGTCGGGGCCCAACTGTATTCGTGACAGCTGAAAGCACGGGAAGTTGAAAAAAAAACACCGTTCATGCAAGTGGGTTTCCTTTCCAACTCTCTGTCTTCTCTCGAACTCGAACCGGTAAAGCGACTGTTCGAAGAGGTGTCAAGAGAGTATCTAACATTATTGGTGAGAATGACGTTAACAAGGGCAAATCGAAAGAAAGATGCGCGATGGTTGGTGCGAAGTCCTCGCATTTCAGGACACAGCCCGGGGAAAAATCTCGCGATTTACAGGTCGCATGCCAAACACGGGCCCCCTGGTGAGCACACACTTCCAAATGTCCCCAGGGCCCGAGAGAAACAGATCAGGCCACAGCTCAACATCCGTAAGAAACTTCCGTGAACAGCGATTGTTCCCATCCACGGTTCGGGAAATGGCGGAAGGAAAGACACCAGGCATGGAAAGGCTACGGATGGAATGGGTGGAGGGATCCGAGCCAACAGAATCGATCAAACACACGAATAGGATGAATCATCAGTTTCCCCAACTAGTCACCAAAAATTCTTGCAACCCTCGGGGCGGAAAGCACGGCGCACCCCACCCCCTCACTTGGGTAGTCACACTTTCTCCGGAACACGTAACATTCCGGAATTTCCCGGAAGGATAGGTAAAAAAAAAGGCTTCGTATTACGGAAGTCGCTGCATACGATGGAGAAACAGCGACAAAGCCTTTTTCCCCCCATCTGGAAACTAGATTACCCCGTCTGAAAAGAGTTCTACACTCGGATACCGCTCAAAGCAAACGGAGCACGTAAACTTCATTCTCTTCAATCCTTGAGAAGTATCCTGAATCCGAACCAGCGCAGAATGAAAACCCCGTTTAATTTAACCTGAGGATTTTTCGAAACATTTCGGACCTTCTGTACAACTTTTCAGGCAGTAGAATTGAAATCGAAATTTTCAATACGATATTCCTCACAAATGCAATGCACTCTTGACGCATCTAACCAAACGAAGCATGACACTCATGATACTCATGCCATCGACTGAACTAGAGTGATGTACTCAAGAAGTTGCCGCGTAGTCAGAGATTTGAAATTCCTCTACATTATTGCAAGAACTTCAAAGTTGCATGTAGGTATTACATAAATACGCAAAATCCTGTACATTAACTGTCCGACATTTCCAAGTTCGGAGGGCATGTTTATGCAGTAATTTCCTGTGACAGAACTTCAACATATTATAAGAGTATTTGATTCATCTTTTCGAAAACCCATAGAATCACTTCTCGATCGATATGGAATATTTCTTCCAATACGTTTCTTTTTCACCATTTTCGTACACACACGTGCCACAGACTTCAATGTCACACTTGCTCGCCCAGAAAACCAACTTATTGAAACCTCACGGCAGTCTTCATCAAACGTCTCTACAATGAAGACTGATTTGATTTCCGAATACAGTAGTTAAAAAGGAAAAAACATGATATCGTAAAAATTAGCATACAATCTCGGGCAATGATAATAAATGTGGTGCTTCATCGAGCGCAACAAGCGGTGAAGTACATGTATTTTCTTCTGCAAATAAAAATAAAACGTACGGGATTCAACCCGAAAGCGTTAAATCGTAGGATGTAAATGCCTCCAAGTACGGGACAACTAAATTTGCTAATTCGCGGACAAGAATTTAGCGATTGTGGAAAGAGGTAAAGTAGGTCGAGCTTGAACATAATAAGAATAGGGATCAGAGCGTCACCATGCCGTTCACGTGGTTACCGTCGGAACACAAAGGAATTCAGAGTCACCAAAAACAACTGAGCTAAGAAATACCACGATTGGGCGCAGAACATGAAAGAGTGCAAGCAGAAGGAACGCAAACCGACGCTTGTCACGGGGGCAACACGTGTGGCTAGTGCTAAACTAGTCCTTTTCCCCCTCGCTGGTTGATTGAATTCAAAGAATTGGAAGGAACAGAAGGAGATTCGCACAAATGCACGATATTTTCGCGACAACGGTTGGAGCCCATTCGCCTGCAGGAAGGAAGTGCACCCCCGGGTCAAAAATGGACAGAGACACGAGCTGCCTCGTCAGTTCCAGAGAATTATTGCAATGGCTCGATTAACAGGAAGATAGGAGTGATATTCCTCCGCCATCGCTCCAATTAGTGACGAAGCACAGGTTAGGAGGCGAGGGTTCCCTCTTTTCTTGGGTCACGCGTCTGCCGTAAACGGAAAGCAATTACTGCGTCCCACGTGTGCGTGCTTCTTGCTATGTGTTGAAAGCGTATTCCTGGGTCTACGAGGTCATTTTTTTCTGCATCCCTGCGAAGGCACGTTTCGCTCTTCATCATTTATTCAGACTGAGGAGAGTTCACAAATCTCGAACATGACCGGTAACAGAGAAATATTTCAGTCATATCAATCGAAACCATTACCAACAAAAACATATCCGTACAGTCAACAGGACAACAACCAAGAGCATCTCGCTGCCCTTTTGGCTCAGCTTGTACAGTATTTTCCCGCGGCCTCTCCAGAAAAATTAAGAAATGAAATGGAATTGAATTCAGAATTGAGAGCCATGACATTAACCAATGAACCGGGGCTAATACGGCATCAACACGAAAAAGTTTCCAGTTTCACGGTAAGCAATTCAAGGTGGACTTTGACATCGGTAGCGTAATATAGTTGGATCATGGATGCGTGAAAAACTCCCAAAAATAAGCAGGGTTACACGGTTATGAAATTTTTGGCAAAATAAATGCATTTTACAGATGACGGTCTTGTCTCTCTGTGGAGACAAGGAAATCGAGTCTTCATCTTAACGACAACGCTCTTCACGCGCTGAACTCAAAAGCGCACTTCTAGATTCAGCAAAAGCCAGGAGTTGGCACGATGCCACGGAAAAAGAGCGCCTCCAAGTCATGCCGTGGTCAATCCATCCAAGGAGAGAAGCCTAACCCATGACCACACAAGCTCCGGAATACTCGAGTAGGCAAATGTGCTGCTTGGACTCGATGAACTAGCCGAAAACGTTATCCTAGCACAATTTCTTTTTTCAACTTGGGATGATGAATTGAGGATGCAGCATCGTTAGGCGGTAACTTCGCGAATGCGAAAAATGCACGTGATTAAAGTTGCACTTCTTTAATATCGTTTTTAAGCGAATACCATTAACGCACCCACTTGATTTTTCATGCACGTAACTAAAATTCAATTAATAGGCAAATTCAGGCAACCCCTTACTTTCATCGTTTTCTGACTTTCCAGGAATCTAAAATTTCTGACTAAATTTAGGTTTTCCCCAGAAAAGAAAAAACGGTGTCACACAACCATGTCGTGCTTGCTCTTCTTCTTCAGTCAATAACTCTAGCATCTTAAAATACAAAAAGATGACCATTTCTTGATTATTTTCAAGTTCAATTCCAAAAGAAGTCCTCAATTATTTTGTGGGCCAAGAATTTCTGATACGGATGAATTTTACGCCAATTTAAACGTTTTTCACTTCTTAATTTGGAAAAAATGGGTGCTTATATACGCGTAAATACGGTAATTGCTTCCCAAATATTTCTCGAAAGGTCAAAGCGAATCAAGTTACGAGAGGGGGGTTGTCTTCTTCAGTTTCAAATATTGGTGGTACAGTAGCTCGACGATTTTCATGAAGTCTTCGCCAAGGACTCGCATAAGGATCATTTTTCCAGGCTTCGACAAAGAATAAGGTTCAGTACTGTACTATCGAGACGAAACCTTCGAAAAGACATGTTTTTCCATCATCAGAAAATAAGGATCACGCAGTAGGCAGAGCTGAAAGAATCTTTATAATTTATCATTTAAATAACTACGAAGTTTGAAAGAATCTTCGCGGGGGAAAATTAATCGATATTCGCATAGTTCACAAATTATGCAATTTAGTGATGAATTGATTACAGTCGATATAAAATAGATTCATAAAAGAAAAGAGAATATACGGAAGTAAGAATAAACTCCTCATTCCCGGTGACCTTTCCCTTATACTTCACTATAAAGGATACCTTGTAGGAGGATGAAGAAAGTTTATTATATGCATGGCTTCCATTTCTCTGACAAGGACATATGTAACGCTATTCTTCAGGACAAGAGTTGGAGAAGGATTCGGGACGACGGAAATTTAGCGCTTACGTCATGATGAAGATTTTAAGTTCGATGGTTGAACTAAGACTTCGGATCACGGTTTATTGCGGAGATAGAAGTCGATTTCTCAACGGGTCGTGAAATATTAGGAAGAATCTTGAATATTTCAGGGTTAACATTCTCAATTTTTTCAAGTGGTGATCTCAATTATCAGAACTCTGCGGAGAAATCCGGGGAAGGGAGAAGACCTACTGACACGCCAGATCAGCATAAATAACTTTTCCATGATTTACTATCTGCTTCGCGAACGCATTAGAACAATACGATCTTACTTCTGATAAATCCATTTGGCTATGCATCCGAAAATCATTCGAGACTGTTACGGACTGCAGATATACGACTTCTGTAAATAATTCATTTGTGGTGATCAGAATAAGCGCAAAATCGTGAACGATCCATGCAGGAAATCTGTCGAACTGAACTCGTCGACAAAATTACGTCGAATAGTTTCTACGACGTCGGATTCAGGAAGATCGGGCACAAAAAATTTGATTACGCTTGGTGCAAAGCGTCAACATTCAAACATACAGTAATACCTGAAGTGGCGGAGTTACGCCGGAAAAATGATTTTTTCAGCTGGTGAACCTAGAACTTCACTTCCGATTCTCACCACGATCTCACAAAACTTCTAAAACGAATTTCGACCTGTTTCCGGCCCAAAACAATGAAACCATCCGCAAAAGAAACGCGAAACCCCGTTCAGGACGCGATTTGCGCACGAAACTACGATCACGACGTCCGACGCTGAACTTCGTACGATAAAGCAATTGAAAAACTTACCTTCCGGCAATACTCCAGAATGTCGACTTTGTCTTCAATGCATGTCGCCTTATGTTCCCAGTCTGTCACCCACTTCCCGGTTTCATCGATGCGCTTATTGATGAATTTCTCCTTCGGATCACACAACATGGCGATCTGTGGCTCTAGATGAAGCCCTCCTGGATGACTGCGGGCCTGAGAGACGAAAAAGATACGCAAGGAAACAGAAAAAACGAGTAATGAACTTATTTCTGCCTGAATTAAGGATCCTTCACACAACCGATCAGCAAAAAAACCGGGATTAGCGAGAGCTCGTAATGACATAAAATTCCGAAAGTGTTCGTTAGCAATCTTACAACTGCAGTACTGCGTTTTTTTTTTTTTAAGAAACGGGTTTGCGAATGCAGCCAGAGAATTCGTTTAACATTCGAAGATTAGAATACCTCTAATACCCATTACGAACGAAGAGCCCGAAGGCATAGAAATCATACCTCTTCGGCTCTCCCGAGCAGACAGCTGGTCAGGGCAATGAAGATGCAAAGCTTGAGATCCATTATCATTTTTGCCTTGGACTGCTATCACTAAACGGGTTTCTTGAAACACTTCTACTCGGCTCAAGAACCGCCCAGTTAACAGGATTAACTTAGCAACAACAGTAATGCTCCTGATTGCGATCACAATCAAGAGGATCACGTTGGTGCCTTTATTCTTCGGTCAGGCAGACAAAACCCAAACAGATGTGTGAAAATCACTGGAACGGGAAAGCATCATGCATACAATAGTTACAAAATGTTCGGGAAGAAAAAGAAAAATGAAAACTTCTTCGGACAAGATATAATATGCAAATCTTCCCCTCAAATACACTTGAACTTCTTCAGCTAAAATTCGAACTTGTTTCGGGGTCAACTGAAAAATAATGTAGGCACAGTTCAATATCTAGTACTGTATAAGAATTGAGAAAATGCACAGCTCAACACATCGAACAAATTATCTTACGTCATGGAGCTTGATCACTCACACGCTTCAAATGATGTAAATCTAACCCTTCTGGTTCCGGTTAACAACGCATCACTCGCCCAAACGCACATTGCATGGCGCAAATCACACAAGCTTCGAGGATAAGCATGCACAAATCAGAGCTTCCCGGGTAATTTTAGCATCAGAACTAAAGCAATGAATTACTCAAATGTAATTAACTCGTTCTTCGCACGGTTTAATGATCATTTTTCACCCATGGCGCGTATGAGGAGCGAAATCTCATTCTCCCGTTCTGCTGCACTCCCAACCAAAGCGACACGCGTGACACGACTGTCGACTGCTCAGAAATTGTCCATGCTCAGCATTGTACTGTACTGTACATATGGTCAGGACTCAGGAGAGCCATTTTGATGTGCCCAGGGTTTCCAGCTGAAAACGTTGACATACCGAACCAAACGCGTGCATCAGAATTAAGACACTTGCACAGGGCAATTAGAATCCATTGAGGAGGCTTAGGATTAATTAGCATTGTAGCTGATATAACACCAACAAAATTTGTATCTAAAAAACAGCGAGATACAAATTTGAATAAAAGCCAATTAATAGTTGAACACAACAGCTATTTCTTTGGCTTCACATACGATTGCATTATTATAATGGAAAACTTGGACCTACATTTTGAGAAGTTTCATTAAAGAAGTCACTTAGGTTTGCACTGAACTATAATGAACTATGCAAGCCGCTTGATTCAAATTTGTCAAAGAAAAGGTTCGCCCCAATGAATTGGAAAAAAGGTATGAAAATGGTACTGTACTTGAGTAAACACAGTAAATACATTCAGCTTGAACATTTTTCAACAAAAATGTGATCTAGAATAAGTGGACTCCAAGGTACAGGGTTAAAATTAAATTTTATTCCCCAGTGAATCTTCAACTTCATAACCCAATCCCTTCAAATTTCATATTGCACAAGCAAAAACGCGACCAGAGAAGTTCTCAAATCATGGCAAGTGAAGGTTTTTGGTCACATTGTGCACCAGCGAACAACACTTACACCTCACGAAATAACGAGTATGCCCACGAAGTTCCAAAAGTCGACCACGTGACATTCTGAACTTACAGCCCAAGTTTAATTCAACTGAGGATAGTAAGCATTCAAATTGACACTAGATCCGTTTTCTCAATTTGATTTGATTCACTCCTCACCGAATAAACACATCACGTCAAGAGCTTCCACCAAGCGAAGTCACCCGCGACATCATCGCAAGTATGAAATAGAGAACACTCCAAAATACGTCGTCAATATGGCACCATTGCTTCGATTCCAAAACAACAAAAAAACTATTCCTTAGATTCTTTCGTTTACAACAGCTGATCACCAGAAGACACACGGGTTAATCCAAATTTCCTGAGAAGGCCAACACAGTCACCAACAAGAACACGCGCGCCAATCATGCCCAGCAATTTCCCTTTTTCTTTTCGATAAGAAAATCACACCCGGTTTGAATTCCACGACAAAATGTCAACAGCCACAAAATCGGTGGTTTGATTCCGAATGGCCACAAGGTACCGATGCTTCGGGCCAAGATTACGATTTGGATTGAACAAACATGAAAACTCCTAGATAAACGCAGCTGCCTTTAGTGATCTGAATTGCGCAATATCCGAACACGAAAGCGTCAACACTACTAGCAGACCAACTTGGCACAAGAGGAAGACGATTCTGGATTCAATCGTTCATCACACGTACACAGCACATGGGTCTCTACTCGATGTCCGAACACATCGTACAGTAGAGGAAGATTGATATGAATTAGTGATACCTTCCAAAATTGACTAAAAAATTAGATACTTCAAACTACGTCTGTGAAGTCCCACTGTCAGCTGATTCCTCAATGTTCGAGAGGAATCTTAGTGGTCCAGAATGCGCAAGTTTCCTGAAATGATCTTGTTTTCCAGCACTGAGCCCTGAGGGATGTCAATCCTGTCCCCATGATTGGCTATGATAATGACGGTGCCCTGATACAGAGAATTGTCGGTCAATACCATGTCCTCAACCACACTTACCCATAGAATAATCGATGACCATAATCGACGCCAGAAAAGAACTAAAAATGTACCTTCAAGTGAACGTGGCGGCCGAAGTTCACATCTCCGGAAACGGTGAGATGATCAAGTTCCAGAACATCAGGGATTGTCTCAAATCGACGCAAAAATTCTCTGACATTGTCAAAACTGTTACCCAATTTAATCAACGGGGTCCCAGGAAACATTCTCATAGGGCTCATGGCTAATGATCCATTTCTCAAGTTGTAAAGATTACTCATCACCAGCAGAAGATCTTGCGATTTCTTCACCGGCAAAAAGCGAGACCTCGGCACATTGACGCCTGTTAAATTGGAAGGAACGTGATTCAAAACGAAGTTTCTCTTAAGATGAAACAAACTAACCAAGCCCTTTATCGAAACACTTCATGGCGGCACCGACGGCAGTTTCCAATTGGATAACATTCATGCCATTCGACAAGGTCTTATTATTCACTATGATCTCGGCGCTCAGAGTGCCTTCGTCCAGAATCCTTGTGATGCCTAAAAATTCAAGATTTTGTAATGATAATAAATATATCTTCCATTGAATGAAACACCTTTCAGCTTGATCCACAAATTGTTTGTGTTGAAAACCTTGAATGTTTTAACGGATTTGAAATCATCCACGTGCTGTTTCGGCACTTGTGCAATTTCTAGCAAACGAACTTTCCCATCATACTTGATCAACGTTCCACCCTGATTGAAAAATAAATAAAGCTGCCAAATTATTTAAAAGCAATACGTTGGCGAATTAAGGAGTCACCTTAACATCAGCACGCGTTTTGTTCGTCAGCTCCATGAGAAATTCCGGAGCGTCAGGATCATCAGAATTGCAGAAAAAATTCATGATATTCAGATCCACTGTAGCTCCAAGATTATCGATGTTCGATATAAAGCAGTATTCTCTGCCTTCTGCGATAAACTCATGAAGCAATCCTGAATTGTAGAAAGACTCGTAAAAGTCACCGTGACCTGGAGGATACCATCTGGAGAAACGCTGTGATTAATCTATGCAGTTCGAGCCTAAGTACAACACAAACCCAACTCACGCTTCCTGATCATCATTTGTATCACAAGTTTTCGCAACCGGGATTAGTGATTCCTTATTGATTCTGGGGTACCGGCTTTGCATGAAAGTCTTGATCGTCACATTGAGATTTGTGTACTTGCGAAGAACTTTTTCGGTGTCATCGTCAGTGTTGAAAGAGTTCATCAACACTAATGGCACGTTTGCCCCGTAAGTCTTATTCAGAAACTTGAGAAATGCATGCGAAGGTGAATTAGGTATATTTTTAAATGTTTTATACAGTATACAGTACTCACCTCAATCTGCTGTACCGTAAGATCCAAGAAAGTCAATTCTGATCTTACAGGAATCACGGACTTCGGACCTTTGCAACCCATGGACGTTCCCAAACCACCATTCAGCTTCACCACGACAACTTTATCCAACATAGCCTTGATTTTAGACGTCTCAGGGGCACTCAAAGTACTATAGTCGATGATCTGACAACGTTGAATAATATTGGCATCAGAAAAATTGTACTCATTGACGAAACGGAGGGACGGGAAAATTATGAAACCTACCGTCTCATTAGATACTCGTTCGATTCGTTCCCAATCGATTGCAGAGCTGGACTCGTTCAAAAACCTCGTGAATAACTTCGAAAATCCCTCGTATTCCTTCTCGATCAGCTGCAAATGCAATAAGCGTGAATTGAATCCGACTATTGAACGGGGCTCAGAAAGAGGGTACCATTTTCTCATCAGATTTAGCAGTCGCCAAAAGCTTCTGAAGTTCTTTCTCCAATCGATGGAGAGCATCGATTTGAGTGAGAGCCTTGAATTGAGTAGCATCGGATGAAGCTTGCCGTCGGTGTGTCTGGAAAAGGCCGTGATATTTCACCATTATCGACGACATCAAGACGAACGAAGGAAACCACCACGGTCGAAATCGAACTAACGTGGGTTTTGCCATATGCAGGTCGGTAAAGTCCCGCAGGTCTTTCCGTTTCGGTGGACGCCAAGCCCCCAAATAAATGAGCCATCTTGAGACTTTACACTGCACACGAAACGACCTAGTTGCAGAAATAGATTTTCACAAAAGGCGCGAAGAAAATAACCGTACCTGAAACGGAATTTGAAAAATTGAAAACGAAACGTAGAGCTGAAAGTTTTGAACAACATGCATACAAAGACGGAACAACGAATGATTTTAAAATAAATATCGCGCAATCTAGTCATACTGCCACTTAGAAGCGTGTCAAGAAGTTTTAGTTGAGGATCTCGCTTTACAAGAAGGACTCCATTTCAGAAGGAATTATACCATCTGCTATAAATATTCTGAGATAGAACACTCCGAAATAAGTTTCTCTTTTTTTTTCAAATGGCCATCCAGATGAAGCGAAAAGTTTCTTGCGGAAAAGATATGAAATTGTTTCGAAGTCTTTTTATGTATTAAAAACCGACTTATGATATTTTGGAGGAACATCTTCGAGTAAGCGCAACCTCGATCAAAAATACAGAAAAACTTCAACTCATCACCATGCCGAAATAACTCGAAAATTTTCCAGACGAAATGAAAATTAAACTTCTACACTTTCCAGAGTAGTAGAGTACCGACCAAAAAATTATGCACAAAGAGGTCAAGGAGCAAGGAATGAAGTTACTGCAATAGCGACAGATATGTTTTCCGAAATGAGCAGAATACCGCCGTAAAATCGTTAAAAAGGTTTGCAAGGATTATAAAAATGACACATAAAATACAGTAAGCAACGGTACGATGACAGCAGTTATCGGCTCGTTTTGATGATGGTTCACACATGCAACACATCGAATGGCGACGAGAACACCAGTCACACAATAGTTAGTCACATCAGAAGAGAAAATACCGGAGGTGGGACAGAATTTTAGTCTCTGTGTTACACAATAAAGTTACCAAAATTATTACGAGTCTTTGGCACAGTTCGTCAACGAAAAAATGCGCGTAGCCGAAAGAAGCAGAAGAGGGTGAAGTTTTTAGCGGTTCCAATTTTTAGTCATTTCAAAAAAAGAAAATAATTTAAAAGTTCAATGCTTAACAATGATCAAATACTGAAGACAGCCGTGATAACGCTCACAGAAATCCCACGCTTTTGAAATTTCCGAGGAAAACTGCTCACGAAAATCGCTGGAGATAAAGGTGGAAAAACCTAAATTTCTTCCTCATAGGAATCACCACTCCTCCTTTGCTCGCCAGGTAGACCCAGTTGAAAATAAGTATCTAAAATACACCAGAACAGGTCGAGGGAGGACAAGAAAATAAGTCAGTCGCAATACGGAAAACCTGCCACACGACGTAGTGCGAGGGTTGCCCCACTGCCGCGCATAGTTGAAATTTCAGATACTCTATTACTAAAGATTGAGCAATTTTCAAAATTTCCCTCAAATAATCTTCCAAGCATTTGCTATTTTTCAAAAGAATTGTAAGTCGATGTTCTCAAATATTTCGGCGTATGGCCGCCTTATTACATTACTATATAATGATACATAATTTCCGGTTCGATGAAGGCGAGTTTCGCCGATTTGGAAAAACTTACAAAAAAAATCCCGACACACCGGGCATCGGTCCGCAAGCTTTGAAGTACACCCAGAACACGTACTCGTGTGTTTACAAGGCAGAAGAGCAATATTGGCTTCATCCGTCATGCACACCACACATAATCCCAGTCCGGAAACCTCAACATCTGGCACATTCACTTTGAACAAGCTCTAAAGTCCAGTATTGATTATTTCAACACTCCTTAGATAAAAAAAATCGCATAAAACTTACCTCCGACTTCAAAATTCGACCGTTACTCAGAAGCAAATAACGTAAGATGATTTTCGTTGGCATACGTTGGAAAAGTGGCTCGGCGACGTGGAGCGCATGAAAATCGGTTACCTTGAAATGAAATAATTATAGCATTCATTACCGCAATACTGTACAGTATTTGGATAATATTCGTAGATCCGAATACTGTACAATGGTGTCTCGGTTGATGGACTTTTAATCAAATTGTAAATTTTGCTGGCGGCTAAAATTTGCAGAGCAGTGTAATTTTTCACATACTGCATTTTACGATCAGATGCAACATTTCGGTGGCAACCAGAGCCCATTGTGCGAAATGTTCACCATGCGAGGCCTCCGTTATCTGGTGTACCTCGGAATTATCCGTCAAAAACCTCGAATGATTAGCCAGGATTACACAACATCTACAGAAAGACACCGCTGCTTTCATTATGGCACTGAATCAACTCCAAACCTGAACGAATTTTAGAAAGCAAATCGTCTCGAAATTTTCTCGGAAATGATAAAGCGTGAAAACGTCAACTTACGCACTTCAAATCTTCATGGCTTTCCTCTCGGTTTGGGAAGGTAATGATTCCAATTGGGCATTTCACACGCACCACGCGGGATGGAATCTCATCGTGAGGTTTTGGAGGGTTGACAACCATTTTGTCGAAGGTATGCACCTCACATCTTCACAAGCGCAATAAGGTCCGAAGTAAAAATCATGGTATTCGCACGATTCACAAGAAACTAACTCTGTTTTACAGTAAAGCTCGTCGTACAAGCTATCCGTATTTCTTTCCACCGCATTCTTCACCTCGGCGATCGTTCTCGAATCCAGAAGCTGACGAAACTTCACGAAGTCGACGCCGAAGACCACGTAGTTGACAACGGATCGCAAAAATTGGAAAGAAATCTCGACGCCACTGTCGTAGTCGTCATTTTCTCTTAATAACTCCACCTTGACTAGAGGCAGGACTGATATAGCAGAACTCTCATATTTTGGAATAGTTTGTGGACTGAATGAGTTTGTATCAGCCATGAGGGCCCAGAGACCAATCAGGGAACGCATGAAACGATCAAAACGATCCCTGAAAAATGAAGATCGAGCTCATTAGAAACCAAACCATTCATTTATTTCAAGATCCTCACCTCGTGAAAAAACGGGCACATCCATAAAACACGAGGGTGATGATGATCGCTCCGATCCAGTGCTCAAGGGAGAGCACTAAATCCTTGTCGAACATCCGAATTTCGAGTTGACCCTGAGAAAAAAGAGAACAACCAGTGTTCGGAAGACGCTACGTCCAAAAATTTTGGAAGAAAATCAACACACAACATTTCCTCATTGCGTACCGCTTTTCCTTGACATTATCGATTACAGGGACTTTCAGTTCATCTCCATGAAAATTCACTCATTAGTGTTCTGGTCTAACGTGGGTGCACTGGAAGGTTCGCGAAGAGGAACCGAAAAAAAACGGCGGGCATTACTCAAGGCATGGAGGTCGTTCATCGCGGTTCGCAGTCGTCTGATTACAAAGGGCAAATATCACTCCGGGCCCTTCGAATAAATGCATAACCCTGCATGACCTTTCCTTCTACGTACATAGCACACAAACATTTGGTCGACAATTTCACGCCGTGTTAAGATGGGAATAACGGAGCACAGGCATGACAAAAATCAAAGTCACGGTGCTTTTCGACCCAGCTAACACAAGATACAACATCAACGACCTTGTTCGTCGGTGGCTAAAATCCAGCGAGAATCTCAAGGGGTAACAAAGCGTGGCATCAAGATGTGATTACAAGCACATCGATCGGTCACGCGGTGAGAGTAATAAGCTTTGAACGCAAAACCGATGGTTACCGGTTATTCAACCTTAAAACGGTAGCTTTCGTGACGAGGGGCCACCTCCCGAGACCGTCAATTATTTCCAATTTCGAATCGCCAACGCGTAGATGTTCGGAGACATTAAGCAAAGTTGTTCGTCAAGCAAATACAGGCATCACGGAATGCCGCGGATTCGTCTCGTACAGTATCGCAAATTGAACGAACGGTTGACACCAATTGCAGACACGTGAAAACGCCTACAACAGCACCGATGCATCAAATGAAACGCCATTTCCCCCTCACATCAAGTTCGCCTTCAGCTGAGTGGCGAAAGGAAAATATAAATCGAGCCTTCGAGTAGACCATACCCTCGGCTCGGAAATTTTCACAACGGCGCACATCGTCAAGCTAAGCCTCACAGGAAAGGCAGCACATTCCGATAAGAGGAAGACGAATTATCGAGCAAGATATCTCATTCAAGTCGTCGCGGAGCATCAATTGTTCTACTTCCCGTAGAAAATTTTCTCACTTTCGCGGTTGAATTTCGATTCATCAGCACAGACGGACAGGTAAATAGGCAGTAAAAACCAGTAAAAGAATGCTATCTGCTAGGATGGAAGAATTGCGTCATGTTTAGAGATGCTCGCCGAAAGTAGCCCGGAGACGACGTGGCGATTGTGGAGTATCACGTCCGTAAATGAAGCCCTCCAATATCGCATCACGATCCTGAAAGTAAAAAATATAAATCATAATAAACCCGCCCCTCCGCTTTTAATAAAAAATCAACATCATGTTCGACGCCCTACATAAACAAAATTTGATTCTTGCTCGTCAGAGATCCTTATCGTTTTCTTCACTTCGAAAAATACTGTTCGAGGGGTTCACTTTTCACCAGCCATCTTTCACCTTCGAGTCAAATGACAACATTCAAGTACATAACACGTGTGGCGTAATTCAAAACAGCAAACTCTACTTTGAAAATGAGCAACAGCAAAACTTCAGCCTAACCAACCAAATTCCGTGAATAAAATGAAAACTTGTGAATCAATCGGTTTTAAGTGAGAAATCAAGCCATCGTGGAAAGTCATCACTCAGAAAAAACGATTCATTTTACAGGCATTCCGGAAGTTAAAAAAACATTTTGTCACACGAAACGAAATAAGTTTTTTGACGAATGAACGTTGAATCACCTAGATAAATCAGATCGTGCGGTTTAATCTTTGAACCAAGCGCAAGTCTAGTACAACATGCACCAACCTACTGCTTGCAACTAGATGACGACGGTTGAATTGAGGTTGTAAGACTCGGATCGCAGAGAGGTGAAAAGAGATCGGGAGAGCTCATTTCGACTGTCCGGGTGGGGACGGGGTTGGCGACGCAGGCGAAAACTGGGCAGAATCACAGACCTCGCCGAGGGACTTGGAGTCGTCTCCGTGATATCGGAATGGTGGCTGAAGCCCATGGTGTTGCTGACAAATACTTCTCGACGGAGGCAAAGGCGGGGCCTGTCTGCGCGGTGGCTGTGGGATACCGCTACCGTTGTGCTGATACGGCGGAGGAGGAGTCGGAGACATATGGTGGTATGGCGGCGGTGGAGTGGGCGGTAGTACGCCCAGGTGACTGATGGACCTCTGTGGGAGTTCGGGTCGACCAGGGCTCGATCCGTTTCCTCCCGACATACGTGTTCCCGTCGCAGATCCAGGAGCGTTACCACTACGACTGGACCCTGACAAAGTTGACGATGGCGATGTCTGGAACATACTGCGCACACGCTGCATGGACCCCTGCTGAATCGGCGGCGATCCTTGTCCCGATTCTGACTCCATCAAAGCTGGCAGCTCTATCAATCTCTGCAGCTGAATCCCATCCCCGGGTCCCATGTGGGTAATGTGGTTGAAATTCGTCGGAGCAGAGATAAGCTTGCTTCGCCTGTCCACGCTGAAATGCCGATGAAACAAAATACTTCATAAGCAAAAAATATGGAAGGACACGGATGAAATCATGAGAGAAAGATCACCTCACTGATATGCGATTGGGACACATCAATCCAGCAATGAAACTGAACTGATCTCTATAAACTAACCCCTTTCTATCCTCGATGATTCATCAAACGATAGTTAACAAGTGGGTTTCCCAAGCTTCGCAGTCACCTAGAAGCCATCATTACAGATGGATGAAAATATTCTCATTCAATCCCTCAACGTTTTTTAGATTTGAAAACAACTTTGTGTCGCAGGTTTGCAATGCACACATGCAATAAAAATATGAATACAATACCCTCAATCAAATCGGACTGTGAACTTCAACCTTCACTCCGTTGGTTACAGCCATGTTAGCCAGAATTTAAAATCCTTCCATAAGGAATGTGTATCAAGAAATGTCTGAATTTCAATAATTTAAAAAATGAAGGCAGAAACTTTTACTTTTTCATGCCGATCTTTTGTAAACTCGTCACATTGTTTTCTGCTCCACTGTTTTCTTTTGCCACTAGGAAGAAAATATTAACTGAAAATTATTAAACAAAAATTCAGAATACAGCGATCCTCCCTTTCCCAATACTGTACTGCAGTTGTAAGAGAGACGCGAAGAAACGCTTCAAGTCGCCTATCCGCTAGAAAGTGGGGTATTAATGCTTAAAGGGGCCAGTCTTTTCGGTGCAACATACAACTTCAGTACCATCATCCGAAAAACGGATAATGAATAAGTTTCCGAAACACCAGGCCCGCAATAACCTTGAACGCATATTTGTTTCCCCCTTCAAGCATTATAAGGCCGCCCGCATCGGCTCAAATTGCCCGGTGGGAAATACTTCAGAACAGTTAGAGTTTACCTTGGCTTCGCGGGACGCTGGTTCATTTCCCGTAACGAAAATCGTCGTTTCGCACCTGTCCGGTTCCCACCTATCACTCCCGAAGTCTCGGTTCCAGCTTCCCACGGGGGAACGTTGACCATTTCTCCAGCTAAAGCAAAGGAATGAAAATGCTGCGGAACAGTTTAGTTTTGACAATAAATCGTCGTTCTTACGCAGAAGAAGATTCTGCAGATACACCACGTGTGGCTCATCGCGAACGTGGGTGAGATTTAGAACGGCAGATGAGTCCAGGGGCTTTGTCCGTTTTAAGTTCAGAGTCTGGATCCATTCTCCTGTCGAAGCCTCGATGATATTCACGTGATTTTCGGCGTACAGAACAACATATCCAGAATGATAGCCAACGCTAAGAGGAACCGACGGAAACATGACTTCCCTCTCACGCGTCTTTCTTCCATGGATATCCACATAAACGCCGAGAGAAGCGAAAATAAGCAAGAACTCCTGGTTTGGAAGTTCCACCGCCCAAACGGCGTCAATGGGGTTGAAAGATAAGAACGACAAACTTTGATTTTCAGGATGCACTAGTGCTGGAAGGGAAAAAGTTTCCATTATACATCTGAACGCGTCATAGGATCTGAATAAGCAGAATACTCACCAACCGGGTGTTGATCACCGAAGAGAGAGTAAACAGAAAAGCCGCTTTGGTACCCAACACACAATCTTCCTTGACTCATCACGATCAAGCACTGAGCTACCGCTGGTAGAGTGAATTCCCGGACCTTCTTATGACGCTGCTTCGTTCGATTGATCTCGTAAATAATAACCTGCCGTTTGATCGCCACACAAAAACAATACGTTGGATTTGGCGGTCCAGTGCGCATGACACCCGTCACTAGTAGATTGCAGCCTTTGGTGTCAGCCACCTTCAGCCACTCAACATCTGATGGACCGGCATCCAAAGCTCTAGTTGGAATCAGTCTGACTTGATGCTGTCGACCCGCAATTGCTACCAATACTTGTTCCTCCCCAATGTACTCCAACTGCCATACGCGTTTCACGTCACCAACTTTTCCGATTTCTTTCATTGAAAAATAAAAAGATAACAAGTTTTCATAACACTCAAGAAACGGCTACGACTATCGTACGAGGTTAGAATTTTCTGAAAGTGTTCTAGAGTATCTAGACTTCAGAGTATTTAGACTACATGCATTTAGAGGGCACACAAAGTCAAAACTGCACCAGGACGTTTCTATAGCACGAAGCTATACTTGGACAATAAAAAAATCGGCAAAACAATGGCAAGGATGAGGGCGCGATCGAAGCAATTCATCTCAAAACATGAACTACCACTGCGGACAACGCGAAAGATGACTTAATCTTGCAGCAGTGAAACTGCAAAAACTTGACCCGGAAGTGTTCACAAGACCGACGTTCCCGTGACTACGCGAAGTTTCAAAGTTTTTTCCGCAACAGATCGACAGATTCACGATGAATTTAGAGAACTCTCATTTGAGCGGATTTGAATTTTTGCTCAAAATCAGTAACAAAACTGAATACCAGGGTGCTAGTTCACAAGATATTGATCATATGCTGTCTACGCTATCCGAAGACTGCAGATAATGAGCGTAAATTGTATCTTTACACAATTTTCGTAAAAACAACAATGAAATTGATTCTATTTACCTCCACGGTCCAAATCCACGCAAAAAAGGCCTTCCTCCGTTCCGATCACGATTCGATCAGGGTCTATCACAGCCCCGGATAAAATACCGCTTTTCATCACCGATACGGTACCATTGTCCAGTACCTCTTTGGCTCGGAATACCTGGTTAACGATGAGAAATCTTTTATTATCATCCGGCGAATAAACGCTCATCACATACCGTTCTAACAGGTAGCTTGTTCCGCTTGAAAATTCGATGCAGTTCGGTTAAAGCCATTACCCATTTGGTTTTCTCGCTTTCAGTCTCGGCCAGCATAAGGGTATGTGCTTGACCGCCGGGGAGATCGGTCATAGAGGTCATCACACGAAAAATACAAGGGATATCCTTGCGGTTCGCGTGGATTACGTCCGAATCTCGGACTCCGCTGACTTCGAACTCCGGGTCGCGCATGTCAATAATTTGTGACGAATGCGCAGATGGCATCGGTGGAGCGCTTCGCTCCACCGGAAGGTCGTAGAGAAACAACTTAAAGTCGCACACGACAACGAACTGGCGCACCCAGCCTTTCTTCACGCCACCCAATTTAGGCACACGGACATACCCTTCATACGCCGTGCCGATGCCTCTTGTTGGATCGATGCCCAAAGGACGCTTCGCTGTAACAGGGAACAAAATGAAAATTCAACAGAGATATCACACGATCACCGATGACTTAAGATTTTGAAGACACACGTTTCGAGATCAGAAATCAATCTTTCATAATCGGGACAGAACACACCGCGTTTCTCCGAAAATAGAAAATCTCCATTGAATAATGCCTAATGAAGCATCAATCAACTATTGACAGTCTACTGTGTCCAACACTCCTCGGAATATAAGTCGTGCGTCAAAAATAAGCAGAACATGAAGAGTTTCCTTAATAGATCGAATAATCTCCCTAACGTAACCACTAAATTTATGTTGGATTCCGAAATTCCTAATTTTACTGATCATACCACTCCAACTTGTACTCATTTAGCCATGAACTGCGATTATACGGTACCAAAAGCCTAAAAAAATCCCATTCAAGAAAAAACATTCCGAACGAAATTCATAATATGTACCGCTTTTCCCATTTTAAAATAAGATTGTTCATCACATCGAAATACGCTCGGAATAAAAATCAATTTTCTTTGTTTTATTAGTTTTATTTTACACGGTTCATCAAGTTATTCTCGAACTCATTGTAAATGCCCCCAAGTCCGGAAACATGACGAACCGTGAAAATGGCACCGAAAGACTCGTGGTAACCGTACAGATATTAGAAGATGAGACCTTACTCTGATCAGAAGGCACAGGACATATGGGTGGAACCCGCGGCTTGCAATGCATGTGACATGCAAACCCGCAGTTATCGCAGACCACTCCTTGCCGTGCGAGCCCGAGAAGAAGTGACGTACAATGCGAGCATTTCAGGGGCATTGAAAAACTTTTGACGAGGAACTGATGCCCATGACCGGGTTGAACTCCTGCACCAAAAGTAGCAGCAGCAAGTGGGTGATGCGGCACACTTGACGGGGCGTCCGCGGGAGACAAATTCGATCGAGGAGAGGACGAAGGCAAAGACGGAGAAGGAACATCGCAGTCGTCATCCACTAGACCTTCTTCATCTTCATCATCATCGTCCAGGTTGTCGTTACTGTTTTCATCATCGTTATCGTTCTCCATGCGTCGATCCGCTGAACGCCTGGCGTCAGCACTTGCGTTGGATTCCTTCAAGAATTCCGCGAAGAACGATATTTCCGATGCAGGACGCTCCAAAACTGCTGAAAACAATGCACTGATTAGAAAAATACCGAACTCCTCATCCCATCTACGGAAAAATTTTCGGAAGAGTTATTTTCGCAAGCGACAGCTCCGACAGAATACTTTCGATCCGAAAATCACAATCCATGCAAACGCGAAAAGACTATAAGGGGAAAATAAAGTCCAATAATCGTCGTGAAACTGACGCCACGCTCGAAAAATATCTTCAAAATCTCGGCTTCCGGTGTAGCCAATGCCCACGAAAATTTTGCACCGGATGTCAGGATTCGCAACGATGTGAAACTGGGTTGAAGAACATGCACCTAACGCGCACGACAGGTGGAAAATAGCACCTCAACAACTAGCCGTTTGAATGACCCCGGCCACGGAGAGGGAAGCATAAAAAATACATGCGGCAAGAAAAAATCTCACGGGGTCCACTATTATGCATCGATGTGAGTCGCATGGACAGCACGCATCACTCGGAGGAAAAAAATTCCAACTTTACCCCAGATGACCTTCATCCGTAGCTTCGATAAGGTGAGGTGGCCCCGATTATTGCACAATTTTTTTTTATCAATCAAGCTTTTTCCACGCGCGAAATCCGCGGAAATAATGCTTTCGTTTATCACATCATGGTTCTCGGGGATCACAGACTTGAATGGTGTAGATAAAGAAGCGCAGCAGCAAGGAAGGGGATAAAGCTCAGAGGCAGAATCTGACCAGAAGACACACGATCGCCGCCCAGAAGCACGATACGATCCCAACCAAAAAAGCCGTTTTAACTGCCAACATAATCACAGGAAGAAAAGGACAAAGAAGCTTTCAAAGGCTTTCCTGCTGGCCGGGGCCTAATCCATAGCTGGTAAAATCTAAAACCGCGGCGGTGAAGCGGAAAATCTGACGCAGTACTCACATCCGTCTCCAGGTTCGATCCGCTGTTGCATTTCCCGAATGCAGGCATCTTTCCGCAAAAGATCTCGCGACATATCATCCAGACGACGCTTGCATTCTCGCAACTCCCTGTAAATAGGAATCAAGCATAACTTCTAACCGAAATAAATATAATGCACCGGTATATCCGTCTCACTTTTGGGAAGCTATCAAGTCTGTCCTGGTCCGAGTGAGCTCCTGAGATATTGCCTGCTTCGCTTGAATTTCGGCGTGCAAGCTGCTTTGAAGATTCAACAGTTCCATTTTTTCAAGCTTTTGACTGCGACGATTGCGCCAATTCTGCAGAAGATACATTTTTTGAAGAAAAGACAGAACTCCCAAAATTAACAGAAAACTCACTGCAGTATTCGTCATGCCTGGTGTTCCTGGAGCAGGACTGCTCCCAAGAATACTACCCGAGTTGGAATTATTTACTTTAAGGCCATCGAGTTCTTCAGTCATTTTGGTGGCCAGGGTTTGAAGATATCCACGAGCATCCTTCTCCTCACTGACCCACTGCATGATTTCTGAAATCTGAGCTTCCCAATGTGGAACGACATCACGGTTTTCTTTGGTATCGCTGAGTTCATCTTCAAGCTTTCGACGCTCATGTTGCAAGGCGTTATAATTTTCTTTAACAGTATCAAGTTCATGAGTCAGACGTTCGTTTTCTTGCTCTAGGTTCAATTTTTCTCGCTCGTGAAGCCGTTTCAAATCGCTGATGCGTTCGTTCCGATCCCACTCAGCTTCAGAGGCCATGAGATCAACCTTATCCTTCAATGATTCCGCTTCCTTCTTCCAATGGTCGCGTTGCCGTTCTGCTTCTGATAGCCAGCATTTCAGCTGGGAAACATCAGTTTCTGCAGCGCCATCCCCGACATCCTCACCGGAGTTCAAGCTACGCTGATACGCCTGCTTTTTCAACATCTCTAGCTCACCTTGCAGATGATTGCACACTTCTTCCGAGCGTTGGCGCAAGCGCTTTTCCTGCATAGCTTCGTGACCCGCTTCCTCAACGCGAGCTTCCAACTCCCGTCTCAAGCGTTCCGCTTTACGAAGATCGGCCCGCAGTGCATCCATTTTAGCCAACGATTTTTCAACCTCTTCTTCTTTGTCCCGCACTTGGCGGGAAAGCTTCTGCTTTTGCAATCGCAACTCTGAAAGCTTATCGCTAACTTCAGTATACTCCGCCATTGCTGCTTTTCTTTGTCCCAGTGCTTCCTTCAATTCCTTTCCTTGCAATTTAAGTCTTTCTTGAGTTTCAGAAAGCTCGCGATGAACCTCATCACGTTCAATTTTCAGGGATTTCAACGTCTTCTCCATTTCTCTCACTTGTTGACTAAGCTCTACGCCAGTGGTTTCAAGTTCTTTCCTGAAGACTTCTTCCGAATCTTTAGATTCTCTCTTGAGCTGAGCCATATCGGATTCCAATTCGGCATTACGTTTCAACAGAGAGTTGATTTCATCTTGATATTTTTTAACATCCACACTCGACGACGTTACTTGCATAACCGATGACTCAGGTACAGGCACGGGCCCTTTGTCATTCATGGGACCATGAGCATGCGTTTGAAGAGTGCGACTAGTTTCTGGTGATGAAAGAAAGAAAATGATTACTCATTGAGTTGAGGAACAAGAGGAAACACGCACCTACAGATTCCATGGACAGGAACAAGACAAACTTACCAATTAATTTTCGGGAAAGTTCCTTATTTTCCTGTTCCAGGCGCTGCAATCGCCGTTCAAAAGCGCGTCGAGACAAGTCATCTAGCTTTTCTGACGTATCCTCGAGAACAACGTCCGACGGACTCAATAAGGAAGTGACAGAGCCCGACATCCGGCTATTGTGCGTGAAGGTAAATCCGACAAATGGTAGGTGGAGTCCCGAAAATGCAGGATTTGAAGGTGGCGGAGGGATAATTTCCGTCGTTCCCCGACCGGATTCGGAATCCTCGACATCGAAGTTTGAAGTGTCAGTCGGACTAGATACCTCTGGTACATAAGGAGCTCGGGCATCTCGAATCCGATCCCAATCAACTCCTTGAAACCACGGATGGCCCTGAAAGAGAGAAACGGTGAAGGAGAATCCAGAAGGAACGAAACATCTTCTGATATCACCTTGAAGTCTTCAATTCCATTTTGTCCAAGACGGACCTCCGGAGCGCATATTAGTCGACGCATGAGGTCTTTGGCGTCCGACGAAACGGTATCCTCGCCTTCATTGGGCACCAAAAAGCTGTTTTTATGGTTCATGATTTTGCCATACGTTTCCACGAGGGATTCGGCGTAGAAAGGTGTTTCACCGTATAACATTTCGTACATGCAAACACCGAGAGACCACCAATCGCATTCTGCACCATACCGACCCTTCCCGTCCTCCATCGCCCGAAGAATTTCAGGTGAGATGTAGTCAGGCGTTCCCACAGCCACATTGGATTGCACCGTGCCGTCCTCTCCCATCCGCAGACATGAGCCAAAATCCGCAAGGCGTATGTGACCACTCGCATCGAGCAGAACGTTATCCGGTTTAATGTCCCTGAAGAATATCAACTCCAATCATGCTCGATTACAAATAAGCTATCCACGAACCTGTGAACGTATCGCAATTTGTGGATTGAGGAAATGGCAAGGACCATCTCGGTTATGTAGAACCGAGCCATGTCTTCTGGCAGTCGATCTTCGAATTTGCTAAGCAACGTCAGAAGGTCACCGCCACAATAGTAATCCATCACAAGGTACTTCAAAGGTAAACATAACACTTGAATTACTGCTCATGAAGCAATCTTAAAATATCTCACCAAGTTTGTATCATCTTGGAACGCGTAATGCAAACATGTGATCCAATTCCGATCACCAAAGGCAAGAACATCGCGTTCCTCCTGAAAGCAAGCAGTTTCTGCTCGCTTCAGCATTTCCCATTTGTTCAGAGTTTTCATGGCGAAGACGCGCTCGGGAGTTACGCCTCGCATTCGAACAACAGCAACTTCTCCAAACGCGCCTCGCCCTATCACTTTCAACGGTTCGAAGTCATCCTTGCCAAGCCGAAGTTCTTGGATTCTAGCGGCAACGGGTCGAACTACACGACACACGAGGAATGCATGTGAAGTCAACTCAACCTCAAGTTTGTCTGATCTACCCTTACCATGCTCGATGAAGTCCGAAACCGACTTCTCCCGGCGTAAAGACGAGTTGCAACATTCTTCGTACAAAACGAGAAGTATGTCCAGGAGCGTTTCGATGCTGAATCCTACGTTCCCATCGACAATGCCGGAGCTTCGCCATACTGATGTCTTTGAAAAGGAACGCAAGCAGTACTGCTCGAGATCCTTCAATTTGGCCTCGGGGTTACTAGGCACAACAACTCCAGACATACTAATTACATCATGATTTCCGAATGAATAGAAGTCTTCTTAGGTGAAGAAAAGTTGCACATCACTTTCAAAGAATTTAATTCCCTAGATCATCCTGCTGATGAAAAATTCGGATAATAACAGCATAAAATGAAACACGAATCTTGCAGTATCAACGAGATAGTGTACCTCTCGCGATGAAAAAAAAAAGTTCACTGAAGAAAACCAGTGCTCGAATGCTTCACTGGTCACGGCATCACTACGGAAGCTATAACATTCGCATCTTCAGACGCAAGAACATGTATCCGAATCGTGAAAAGGGCACAATCACGCCGTGCGAACTGCAGAAACACCAAGACTAGTTAGCTACATGGAGTAACTCAAAAACTTAGCAGTTCGCCTTCAGTAAATCACCTAGCAACTCGCCATGCTTTCTCATACTCATTCTAGCTCTCAGAATTCATGTGATAGAGCAAGTCGATTTCGGGGAAAATGATTCGCCAGAAACCAAGTTTCTTGAGTATACAGTACCATACTAACGTCACCATATTACAGTATTCACACCCAAAAGTTTAAAGGAAATAAATTTTTAAAAATGTTAGACCTTTCCACTTGGAAAATCCTTAATATTCAGGAAAATATTTTAAATTGCTGCTTTCGAAAATAGATTCGTGTATGCTCAACTTGACAGAGCATCAGAGAAATACCATACTGTAAATATATTATAATGAGAAAATACAGAGCGGCAAAATGGACATGGGCCTGCAATTCTACATGCTGTAAAATTGCAAAAAATGAATGCTGGAAAGCGTGGAATGCTTGAAAACGTGGTTTTTTCCTGCATGTCACCTAAATTTAATAACTAAGTTCTTTAAAAGCATATGCTGGGCTTAGAGAAAGGACCTCTGCACTTTATTCGCACTGCTCTTGCATTTTGGTTTTAAAAACTCTCAGAATCATATATTCCGTGTACTGTATTGCATATCCTGCGTTATAACGGCTGCAGCTCAATCTTCAAAAAGGTGATGAATGTCTTCTCAAAAACTTTTACACCCACGGTAGGATTTTTTTTTATATCTTCAGCGAAAATTCTGGCGTGCCTGATGAGAATCATATTCTCGACCGAAAATTTAAACGTGATTTAAACTCAATAGAAAAGCTTTATACTGTAACAAGTTGTTCGCACGAACATTTTTTTCATGGATAGTTCTTCTCATGAGGAAAATCCATGGAACCTCAATTAATACTCAACATCGATTTGAGAAAAAAAACACCTTTTGGGTTGAGGAGAAAATACTCGAAGATGCATACGAAGAAATGTAGCCTTTGAGAAAATGCCGGATGAATAAATGGAACAGATTGGTTGCCTACGAAACCATACACATACATTACAAACAAAAAACCATGCATTACTGTATACAGTAATGAAAAATCCTCATTATTTAATATGCACCGTGCATTGATTGAAAATTGGCTTATTTACAATGACATGTAATCCTCTGTGCAATTCATGCCTCAAAAAGGACATGATCTACGATTAAAGTGCTCAAAAACGGCAGTAAAAACTGAATGTACGAAACAGTGAAAACGTAGCCTAAGAAAATCCAATTCAATAATGATCAATTCGATAAATTAATGAGGAACCCTTCCTTCATCAATGGTACAACAGTGAAACAAAATCATACGAGATTCTAGACAATACGAGAAGAAAGGCAAAAAATGCCTGCCGTTTCAGTCGATCAAATTTTGATATAAATTCAGTCGATATAAATTCGTTATTAATTGAAGCCTAAATCATTAAAGTTGTTGTGGTTTAAATTTTTTCTCGGCCTAACTTTACAACATGATTTTCTTCATCAAGCACAGGCGAGATCCTACGGCTGTACGCACGGAAAATGCCAGTCTTCTTCAACGAAATATTTAAATTTTTTTATTACTTTTTAGCTCTTTTATCATTGAATAATATATTGAAAAAAAATTCATTTGATTCTTCATCAATGTTTTTAATATATTATCTCTGACGCATTACAATAATTCAATATCCGCGAATAACTGCACCGAAGTACTGTATATATATATATATATATATATATATGTGTGTGTGTGTGTATAGTGAATATAACGCACCGATGGTTCTACAGCACAAATGTATGCATCTAAATGGCTCGGAAATATGCTCCAGTACGAGATACAATATATGACAACATTATTCACTCGACACTAGGCTCTGAATAATTTTTCAGCAAATTAGTTCGTAATTGTTTAATCAGATAGTACAGCAGTAAGTACTGTATTCCCTGTCTGTGACTTGCAAATTTACCAGGATTCCTCATAATGTATAGCTATCCCGACGGGTGACATTCCCTCATGATACTGTCTTCGCATGAAAACCATCGAAAGATTGGCGATCTTTCACCTGTAGATATTTCCGATGTTCCTCCAGTCCTCCAAATCTCGCGGAGAGCGGGTGAAGGTCGTCCTTGAAGCGGTCAGTCCGTCACCGTTGCTTTCAATTTCAATCGAATTTTTGCTGTCGCATCCTCCGTTTTTTTTTTTTTTCGAGCAAGGACAGCAAGCAGCGGGAAGCTAGCGAAGGGCGGCCGTGAAAAAGAATTCTTGCCCTTGTTGAATGGCATCGTCGTAGAAAAACATGGATGTCCTTCTTAGGGTCGGAAATTCGCCAGTTGAGATTTCTTTCAGTCCTTTTCGCGCTATGCGTTGTGTCGCAGTTGTCTGTGCCTGAAAATATCCCATATACTTCGTCTCGATCAATATTAGCAGTTGATTGATTTTGCGTCGTCTAGCCGGTGAGTGATTTATCTAGCGATGCGATGTTTATTTGAACGAGTGACGAAAAAATTGTTATTTTTAAAACAATTGAAAAATATTTTTTTCGCGTTTGAGAGTGCTTAATTGCGATCAAGAAAATTTAGCACATCAGTGTCAATTTCTTCTGCGCTTTTTGAATCCATTCTGAACATAAATACGATTTTTTTGATGATCGGAAGCAAACAAAAAATCGCGTGACCTTACTTCCTAAATTGTTACAATGAATTTACACTGCACAATTAATGTGATCTTCATTCTCAATTATGAAAATAAGACTATCGTCATTTTTAGGCATATATAGCTAATCTCTTGGGATAAGCTACTACTAGTCCTTCCGGAGTCTTTTCTTGGGTCACATTTCAAGATCTTTTGAAATTCATCAGCACATTACCGAGATATATTCTTGCCATTTATCTGAAAGTTTTTTATTCATAAAAGATGTATCATATACTGTATTTTATAAGAGTATCGATATACAGTATACACACGTACAGCGGTGCAAGTGTTCCAAATATGGTCAGAATAATTTTGCGGACACATCACCAGAAGCATCACGCAAGAAAAAATTTGCTGACCCCACTCCACGTCCTTTTACAGTACTTTTTTTTATCCTTATTCGACTGCTGGATAAATAGGGTATAACTGAATAAATGCCTCGTTGAATGCAGAAATGTTGTGATTTCTTATCAATTCTCCATTCTCCACCAATTGCATCCGAATATTAGAAATTAATTTTCCAGTTTGCTGAATCTGACAGAGTAAGGCAGTGGACATTGGATCTGGTTCGACGTGAATAAAGTGGAAATATTTTAAAATAAACTACTGTACAAACTTGCGCTCAAAATCAGTCGCCTAATTGTTTTCTTCGGGTTCTCGTATTGATTACACGTTCAGGTCGAATGTCAACAATTTAAAAAATAATATGGTATAAACTTTATCGAAAAAGGCAGTTTCCAGATCTTGAAGCATTCCAATAAATCCACGTTCTAAACTTCTCTTCTTGAGTTACAAAAAAAGAAAGAAAAAGATCAACATCGCGCTTTATTCAGAGCTGCAACCAAAAACATGAAAATTTTTCTTCAATGAATGAATAATGGAGAGTGATGTACAGTACTTTCAGCAGGAAACTTCGGAATACCGGTCGGTGAGTCCAATATGTACTGCGTATGAATTTTTAGTCTCTCATGCAAATATTGTATTGTCGTTCTCTTCATACCTCAACTGTCCCAAACTGAACCCATAAACCATGAAAGTAAAATTAACACATAAAAAATAATGTTTTTTAGACTGATCATGGTTTCGGTTTTTGCGCTGTAATGCCTATTTATTACTGTACATTTAATTTTTTTTAGCTCATGTGTACGTATTTATCTCGTTTCAAGTTGAGCGTTTCTTCATTGAAAGCTCAAGACATTTTCTAATGCAGTACTTGATACTTTGGTTGATACCGGTTCCAAACGCAGCTTCAAAAAAAGCTCGTCTGCTTCAGAAAAAAATCCGTCAATATCGATTTCTGTCTTGATGGAAGCGGTCGCCTCACGACCGATTCGAACGAAGATAAATAGACAAGTACTTAATTAGATTTTTTTCATAAAAACCTGTTATGAAACAGATGATCCGTGGGATTTACATTTGCATGCGCATGCAGAGCTCGTTTTTGACCCTTGACTGAAGCTTGTTTTGGTTATCAGGATAAATGAAGGTCATCACGATAATGCTCAGATGGCATATATTCTTGTCTGCTTCCGATTTTTGTAAGATCTGTGGTTCACTCAGAACACTGGATCCGAACATTTTTATGTTTACAGGCTTGTTTTTATGATCAATTTTCACAAAGCCACACGAGAATCCAGTAATTAATGGAGCTCCCTGTATATAGTATTTGCCTAATGGGTGATGGCACACACAATATTTTATTGGAGTAGCACGATCATAGCTTTCAATTTGTATGGTCTTTACCTTGAGTCTGAGATATCAGTCCTTTTCTATCGTTTGTTAGCCCAAATTATTGATAAACGATAGATGCCTTCGCCTGGATATTCAAACTTCACATAAATTCAAGCATTTAGACGAATAATCTTCAACAGAAATGAAAAATTATTCATGTTGATCCTCATCAGCAGGATATATCTGAAGTTCTCGCGAATCTTGAAGGGAATGTTCTGTACAAGAATTAATCTATCACAGATAAA